GAAGTCGGTCCATCTCCACCCCAAGCCGGCAAGGCTGAAGAGCTCTGTGCCCCAGGCCATGCCCACTGCGGCCAACCTCCACCGGCGGCCTCAGCCCAGCAGCATCCGGGCCACTCATTGCGGCCCCAACCAACTTCTCCTTGAAGGAGGCCTGCATGGACTGGTAGTCCCGATCCTTGGCCTTCTGCATCTGGTTGATGTAGTGCCAAAGCCTGGCATTTTCCTCCACCACCCCCTTCACCAGCTCCGCGCCAGTGATCTCCCTGGGTGGGCTGGCCTGCACGGCCACCTGGGCATCTCCACCCTGGTCCTCCGGGAACGTACTCGGCCTCATGGCCTTCAGCATGGCTTCATCACAAGGCCTGAGGTGCACCTTCAGGGTGCTCCGCCTTCTCCTCCTGGGGCCCTTGTCGGAAGGCGTCTGCATCGAGCCTTCACTCATGGCGTTGGGCTCATAACCCTCGAACCCGCGAAGACGCAGTGGGGCTCTTTTTCTCTTGAGCAACAAAAGGCTGCATGTGCACAAAGTGAAAAGAGCGACGTGATAACCATCTGCGGACTTTTTTGGCCACCCACTCAGTACGTGAGTACGGGTTTGGTGTTGGGGGTGGGGTGGGGCGTTGGAGATGGCGAGTCATTCGCCGGGAGGAGTGGGGTCGGTTTAGGTGGAACATCGGTTTCTCGACTTTTCACTTGCAGCGGAGCCTGGTGACGGTGCAGGGTGTGTGTGACATTGGGTTTTGGGTTGCCCATTTTCGGTGGGACTTTTTTGTTAGGTTTGTGCACCTGGGCGGATTTTCTGTGCGAGATCCCACCCATGAGTTTCACTCAGACGTTATTTTTTTCAGAGACGGTGATGTTTGTTCCTCTTGTTTAGAAACTTCAGACTCTTTCCATGCGCTTTTTCGTGCAGTCCCTTTTGCTTTGTTCGAGATGCGGTGTAGCTGGGAGCTCCGAAAGGGAACCCGTGTCAGGCCGCCGCCAACAGCTTGGGGGTGGAGATGAACAGCGTCTGCAGCGTGGGGCCGCATTCCAAGGCAGGGTACCAGGCAGGGCCAAAGCACTTGGTGACTCGCCGCGAAAACGGCGCCAATCCCCCCCACATTTGCTTGGGAAGTTCCATCCGGTTCCTTTTAGCTTTTTGGATCTTTTTAGTTGGTTTAGTGGTTGAGTGTCCATTCACTTAAAGTTATTCACCTTCAGCAGGGATCTGAGGACAGCCCAGTGAACAACCATCCCTGGCCCCTAGCAGGCTTCGAAGGGAAATCGGAAGGTTGGTCAGGCAACTTTGGCAGGGTTCCCCGAGGAACTTAAAGGGACACCCACTAGACCTTTTAGGGGCAAATGGCTGTTACATCCACCTACAACAGCTCAGACATGTTTTGCCCAGGGATTTTTCAAATGAGCCACAATGAAAACCCGGGTAGATGAAGGTTGGTACGGGGCAATCCCCTTGCCATAAATAGCTGCGGATATCCGCCTTCTTAATTCTTGAAGCATGGTTCTGGGATTACGATCATTTCAATATCGGGTTTTGATTGTGACTCAGAGGTGTTTCCCACGCCCGGCAGGCCATGTGCGAAGCATATCCTCGGCTTAAGGATGAATCCCGGCGTGGGCTGGGCTTGGGCCGCAAGAGGCAGCGCGCGAAGAACCGCGACGCCTACATCGCGGCGGTGGTGAAAGAGCAGAGGAGACAGCATGAGCTGGGCATGCAGGATGAGGAGGGCCTGGCTCGAGTAGCCATGCGCTTCTCACAGAAGGATCAGGCGTCTTGGTGGCTCCCAGCCATCCCGTTCCTGACGTTTTCAGGTTTTTACTGCTTAGTGGTAGTTTCGGTATTTAACCCACTAAAAGTTGTTCACACTTTGCGGGTGATTTCAGGGCAGCCCAGGAGTATGCGCATTTTCTGGCAAACAGCTATTATGAACAGGACAGGGCAGACATCACAGCGGATGACAACGATGAGAACGAGAGCCCTCGCCGACTTCAAGAATACCTTGAAGTCCCCCCACTGTCCAAGTCATTTAGCAAGGATTCCGTGAGGGAGACTTCACCCCGGTGCGTCACCTTCGTTGAGGACCTTGCTGACACTTCAGATCCGCCCTCCCCCCGCGGCCGTGCGGTTTGCGCCAAAGGCTTCGGGCTTTCCCGGGGCCAGCTGCAGGCAGGATTTAACTTCCATTTGCTTAAGAATATGTTGTATTTTCCCCAGTTGGTTTTCAAGGAACCCTATCACTACGGGACATATATATTTTTTTCCAGGGGTCTCAACCAAATGGAAGTTAAGCTGTCGCCAAACCTTGGCGATGAAGAGAGAGAGAGAGAGAGAGAAGAAAACAAATCCTTCTCGGGGATTCTTAGTTCTTCAATGCCGCCCTTTTGATCTTTGCGGTTTTCACTTCTTCGCCCATTTTTAGGTCACACATATGCTTGACCTTCTATTTCTGGGTGGGGCAAGTGAGCCTGTACAGCGGCGTCACCAAGCCGCCTCGAAGGGATTCGGCTCGGTGTCTCGCAGGCTGCCGGCCTCAGC